CTCGCAGCCACCCTCCTCCAACTCCCCACCCCAGGATCCTGCATCATCACCGGCCAATGCTGTGCCAACTGGAATCCCACCTGCCCAGCAGCCACCTCTACGGTGCACATGGGCACCCGTCCAGTGAAAAACACTGGCTACCACCTCTCTTCAAAGAAGATATTAGGATTTATCTGGACTCCTGCCTTCACGATGCAGTAAAAAAAATAAGAGCACAGTGATGAAAAGCTCTGCGAAACCACCAAGGATTCGTCCTCTGCTAGCTGTTCCTGATTTTGAGTCTAATTTAACACTGCTCTGTCTCTGACAGTGGAAAGCTTCAGATATCTCCAAACAGTTCCTCAAGTTGGAATCTTGGCTTTTTGCTTCTCATGGAGCAGTATTCACAGAGGCTTCCTCTTTCAGGCAGATTCTGACTGCAAGCATGCTCATCCAGAGCATGCCCCTCGAATAAGACTCCGAACATGCAAGTTACAGGGTGGTACATACTTACTGGGGCACCCAGGGGACTCAGCCCTTTGGAAAAATAAGATAGACATCTTAATTAATAAACACTGTCCCCACACTGGAAGCAGCCTCTGTACCTGAGGACTTCCTTCTCTAAAGAGCCTCATGACTTATTTTCTCTCTTATTTAGCCGAACTCAGATGATTGAGAAAACTGGTTTGTCTCTTCAACAGCCACTCAGCTGTCACACCTCCCAGGTACACATGGGCCTTCTGAGGCCACTCCTTACCCCATCCCAAAGCTGTGACTCTTCATTCATGCTTAAGTTCCTGCTGTGTATCGGGTACTGGTCAGGGTATGTGCTGAGCAGGATCTCCCTCGTGAAGCACAGAGCCTTGCAGAGAAAATGGATCACTAACCAGAGCAGTACAGCACAGAGTCAGAATGGCTGGGTTGGGAGTTCAGGGGATACTGGAGCACAGAGCAGCAAGCCCTGGTGAGTGGGTCATACCCCAGGAGGAACGAGTTTGGCTCAGCACCTTCCTTGCCATAGTCAGTGAGGCCCCCATGCACATAAAATGCAAGTAGAATGGCCTTGTAAAGTGTGATCTTTACGAGAACCATATCTTATGACCTGTACTAAAAACATTTTGCATCATATTCTTTAAGAATCTATAATTTAGACCATCAGAAATCTCTGTAATTGCTGCTCTTGACCTTCAGCTCCTTAAACCACCCTTAGCAGAACAGGTTGAGAATTTCATTATGCTGTACAGAGCCTGTTGGGCAGGAAGACAGCAGGTCATGGGGACAAACACACCCCCGCACACAGAATTAGAGACTGAGGATTAAGAAGAGGATCAGTAACCCTCCCAGACTTCAGACAATACTACAAAGCTACAGTAATCAAAACAGCATGGTATTGGCACAAAAACAGACATATGGATCAATGGAACAGAATAGAGACCCCAGAAATAAACCCACACACCTACCATCAATTAGGCTTGGACAAAGGAGGCAAGAATATACAATGGAAAAAAGCAAGTGGTGTTGAGAAAGCTAGACAGCTGCATGTAAACTCCCTCACACCATACAAAAAAATAAACCCAAAATGGCTTAAAGACTTAAATATAACACATGACACCATAAAACACCTAGAAGAGAACATAGGCAAAACGTTCTCTGACATAAATCATACCAATGTTTTCTTAGGTCAGTCTCCAAAGGCAATAGAAATAAAAGCAAAAGTAAACAAATGAGACCTAATCAAACTTATAGGCTTTTGCACAGCGAAGGAAATCATAAACAAAACAAAAAGACAACCCACAGGCTGGGAGAAAATATTTGCAAACGATGCAACTGACAAGGGATTAATCTCCAAAATATACAAACAGCTCATACAACTCAGTAACAAAAGAATGAACAACCCAATCAAAAAAATGGGCAGAAGACCTAAAGAGACATTTCTCCAAGGAAGACATACAGATGACCAACAGGCGCATGAAAAGATGTTCAGCATCGCTAATTATTAGAGAAATGCAAATCAAAACTACACTGAGGTATCACCTAATACCAGTCAGATTAACCATCATCAAAAAGTCTACAAATAATAAATGCTAGAGAGGGTGTGGAGAAAGGGGAACCCTCCTATACCATGGGCAGGAATGTAAATTGGCGCAGCCACTATGGAAAACAGTATGAAGGTTCCTTAAAAAACTAAAAATAGAGCTACCATATGATCCAGCACTCCTGGGCCTACATCCAGAGAAAACCGTCATTCGAAAAGATAAATCCACCCCAATGTTCACGGCAGCACTATTTACAATAGCCAAGACATGGAAGCAACCTAAGTGTCCATCAACAGATGAATGGATAAAGAAGATGTGGTACATATATACAATGGAATATTACTCAGCCATAAAAAAAGAATGAAATAATGCCATTTGCAGCAAGACTGATGAACCTAGAGATTATCATACTAAGTCAGACAGAGAAGGACAAATATCATATGCTATCCCTTATGAGTGGAATCTAAAATATGATACAAATGAACTTACCTGCAAAACAGAAACAGACTCACTGTCATAGAAAACAACTTACGGTTACCAAAGAGGAAAGGCAAGAGGGATGGATAAATTAGGAGTTTGGGATTAGCAGATACACACTACCATCTATAAAACGGATGAACAACAAGGATTTACTGTGTAGCATAGTGAACTATATTCAGTATCTTGTAATAACCAAAATGGAAAAGAATCTGAAAAAGAATATATAGAGGGAGAGGGAGCTTGCGCACACAACAGCACGCCCCTGACGAGGCTCCTGTCACTTCTCAGGGCTCGCCTCTTGTTTTGGTTCATGCCCCCAGCCTCTGGTCACGCTGTCTCTGTGCCTGTGTGCCTTTCCATGCCACGCCCACTGCCCTCCATTTGGCAAACCCCTCTTCCACTTCCAAGATTTTGTCCAGTCATGACTTCAAGGCAAGCTTTTTCTACCCTTTCCCCGTGCTGCCTCACCCACTCTGTAAAATCAACCCCTCCCCACTTGGTGCCCCAAATGCCCCCATTATATCGCCGCTCACTTTATCGTTGTGGCTCACTTGTTACACTTGACCGTTGTATTGTTAATTGTGGGGGGGCTAAGATCGTGTCTTATTCAAAATTATCTGTGCCTGGTCCTCCAGACCTTTTTCACATCAGAGCACATAGCAAACGATAATATTTCTGTGGTACGAGAGGCTGCTGGTGACAGATCAGTCCTCAGCACACCTTTATAACCCAGGCAAAGCTTAAACACACCAGTTGAGGAGCTCTGCTTAAAAGACTCTCAGTTAATGTTGATTGAAAAACAATGCGTCAGTCGGTCTGTTTATAGGATTAAGAGATATCTGGAATTAGGCAAAAATGATCTAAGAAATCAGTGAAAGGAATGGTCCTATAGAAAATAACATAATCAAGAGTGAACATGGCCCCAGCAGAAGGATAAGTATGTGGGTTTCTCAGCCACATGGTCAGGGTCTCCTTGACCAATACTAGACTCCATCCCCAAGCTGACCTACAGCACTGCTTTCCGGGCACCTGGTCTGTAATCAAGCCGAGCTGCTTGCTCCCCGCCCCCTGCAACTCCCTTGCTTACCTGCCAACGGTCAGCCCGTTTGTCTTGGCGTCTCTCTCCAGCACAGCCTCCTCTCCACGCGTGCCACCCACTAGGACGACAGCCGCCCATCTCCATGGCCACCTCCAACTGAAGCCTCCTGTGCTCCCGCGGGCAGGCACGGCCTCTCTCTCTTCACCCTAGTATTGTGACTGTCGCCACACGCCCTTGTCTGAGTTCCTTCTGTCTCCGATCCTGTCAATGAGATAAAAGTTTCACGTGGTTGAGGACAGTCCCTCTCACTGTAGCTTCTCCTCCTTCACCCGTAATAGGTACAAATAAGTGTATATTGCATTGAATAAAATTTCCCAGGTGGCTGTGAAAAAACCAGGTTCCTGTCTATCAGGGAGGTGGGGGACTTGCCTGTCCAGGGAAGAGCCAACGTCTCGTAGCCTGCTGGGTGCCAGGAAATACCCCTAACTGCACTCAGCCCTCTTATTGCAGGGATTCATAAATCAGGTAATCCTATACAGAGCAGAGCCAGACCCACTGTCCCCAGATCCATTATCTGGGTAGTAAGTCATCCAGACTTTGGCCTGCAGGCCTGGTGAGCCAGACCAGGGGGAGAACCTGAGAGCAGCAGCCCCAGGGGGGCATGAGAATCGGAAGTGAAGCCCCAGTTCTGTGCAGCAGAAACAGCTTCCTGCAGAGCTGCAGGGAAGGTCGGGGAGACTAGGAGGACAGGGCGGAGTGTTAAAGGGTGAAACTGCTTGTCCCAGCCCTGTGGGGCATCCACGGGGTTAGTCAGTAGTCAGCCGCCCCTTTTCCCATACAGTTTCTGAAAGGCAAAATAGAGGAGTATTGTGGAGTTCCTTAGAGCAAGTAAATAAATGCCTATTTCCTGATAGGCCTGCACTCTTTGAAGATGCACAGCCCTGAATCGTAGGCCACCCCTAGGCTGTGTCCTGATGTTCACACGTACACTGGAGTCAAGTCCCATCCTGATCCTTCCATGCTGCCGTCAGTAGTATTTCCAAACAGTGGGGCTTTGGTTGGAGGAAGATAAACCCTTCAAGCAACCTTTTTGCATTGAATGGTAATTCTTGTCTCCCCTCTCCTGCTCAGCCAGGCCTCATGCTTGTGGCTAATCTGTTGAGCATCCTTGCGTGTGCACTGGAAGACGTACCGTCCCCTGTCGTGACAAGGGACTGCGTCTCCCCCTGGGTTCGGGGATGTCTGCTCAGACTGAGAAGTCTGATCTGTGTTCCCCCAAGCTCCGCTACCTCTGTCTTTGCTTTAGAATTGGGAGAATGAAATTTCTGGTAATGCTTCATTGCCGAGACATTGCCGCAAGTTTCCAGTCATCAGGAAATGTGTCTCACGTTCTGTTAACAGCGGAATCCCCGTCCCCGGTGACCGCCAGTCCTGCACTGATGTGATATGCCCTCTTCCCCCTGCAGGCACAGAGGGTACACAGGAAGTGCCCTAAACCCAGCAGAGCTCACCACGCCTCAGAGAAGAAAGCTGGGTCCACGCCTTCTCCCAGTGCCGCTGCACAGAGCCGGACCCCTGGCAGCGGCCCGCAGCCCCAGATGGACACTTCAGACCTGGGGCTCGGCCAGACAGGCCTGCCTACCCGGCAGCCGCAGGACTTTGCCAGACCAGCCGGCAGCCCTCCCAGCCTCCCCTGGTCTTTCCAGAGAAGCAAGTCCTTGTTTTGTTTGCCCATGGGAGACCCCTCCCCGGCCTCCTCAGCTGAACCACCGTGGTTTGCAAACATAGACGGCCCGGGACAGAGGGCGTCGGAGCGGAGGCACAGCCGCCTCCTCTCCATCGATGACTTCGAGGGGGCCCAGGAGACGGACGTGGACACGGGGCTGCGGCTCTCCTCTGACCCGTCCGTGGTCTCTGCGTACTCTGCACCCAGCAGGTTCTGCAGCCCCGCGGAAACACTGCTCCCCTCCGAAAGATGCAGCAGCCTCTGGTCAGAGCGCAGGGCTTCCAGAGAAGGACCCCTGCCCGCTGGGGGCGGCGTGACCACAGAGGCCTCCTGGGCTGCCCTCCCTCTGTTCACCAAAGGGCCTCCCAGCTCCTCGGCCACAGCTGTCACCACTTCCCCAGCTTCCGACACCTCCTGGCTCCCAGAGTCACCCCCAGAACTCCCTTACGATGCTCCCGATGCCCAGCAGACTGGCAGAGGCCTCCTGCCCCCCTCAGTGCTGGCCGGAGGCGCGGTCAACGACGTGGAGGAGGAATTCTACATCTGAACACACCCCACTCTTGTCTTTCAGACCCGCAGGCTCAGGCGCCCCTGCCCCTCTGGGGTCTGCACACCACCCGTGTTCTCGGCCCCGCTTCCCCAGGTCCCTCCGGAATCTAATTATCTGTCTCACGGGGTCGTTATTAGCACGTTTGACACACCACCCGTTCTTACCTGCGAGGTGGTGGGCTCAGTGGAAAAATACTGGGATTTTTATGCAAATAAATTCTCAACAAACTTAAGGCATAAAATATATGTTTTGAATACTCAGTTCCATTTGAGATATGGTTTGGTGCACTTATTTAAATGCTTCATATAATTATTTGAAATGGAAAGAAAACCTAGTCAGCTGGAGTTGATTTCACAATTTTTCATGCTGGGAAGGAAAAACAATTAGAGCCAAAAAACGCTGAATGTGAGAAAGATACCAAGTGACTTGTATGAGAGATTAGTGCACACAATTCCACCTTACTGGATTCTCCATATCTGTTTACCTTACCAGGGAGCAGTGGCCCTGAGAATTTCCAGGTACCGTTACAGTGAAAGGAGTCATTGTAGTGCAGTTATAATACGATTTTGAGTTCCAAAATCTAGATTTGCACACATCTTTCAAACACATTCACTGTAACAGGTGGGGGTCCGCAGAAGACACCACTACCTAGATTTGTCTGGATCAATGAGGAAGAATCGTTCTTGGAGTTACAGGATAGTAGGTTATTAGACATAGTGGGGAGGTATTCTTAAGTTGCTTCAATTTTTAAAACCACAATCCAAGGGCTATATATACACAGATCTATGTAAATGACAGGAGCCACATTTTGCACTGCTTTCTCCAGTAAACATGCATCATCACACACCCTTTTTCATTTTTAAATAATTCATCATAACAATTTTAACTGGCACTTTGATTGCACAGGTTAATCAATGCACTCCCCTCTTCTCCGAGTGGGAAGCTTTACACAAAATGCTGTCCTGAACCAACACCGTTGCACGCGTGCATAGGAGCCTTAATTAAAGCTGGAGCTCTAACCTGACCTTGGCCTTTCCTGCCATTGCCTGCTTCTGTCACAGCGTGAACAGTATTTAAATCTCACCTCTCTCCCACTCCAGTAAGGGTATGTTTACAATTCCAGCCTCTGCAGTGCCAAGTGCTGGCGTCGGGGACAACGCCGAGCTGTCCCTAGTTGCTGTATACCTTTGGGGAAGAGCATAGACTTGCCTTGCTTACGTCCCACTCTGGTGCTCCCTGCCTGAATGACTCACGGCCCAGTTTACACCTCTCTGGAAGCGCCCACACCAGCCCAGACACAGCTTCAGAATCCTCTTCAACACAGTCCTCCGGCAGCCGTTAACCAGCTATCAGACTCGAGCTGAAGCCTCAAGTCTTTGCCATCCCTGTAATGAGAACCTTACCTCCTACCCCGAACATCCCGCATATTCCAGGACTCCGAATTACAATATTCTGCTCTGATTTAAGTAAATAAAAATATAGTCTTCTGGGCTTCCCTGGTGGCGCAGTGGTCGAGTGTCCGCTTGCCGATGCAGGGGACGCGGGTTCGTGCCCCGGTCCGGGAGGATCCCACGTGCCGCGGGGCGGCTGGGCCCGTGAGACATGGCCGCTGAGGCTGCATGTCCAGAGCCTGTGCTCCGCAATGGGAGAGGCCACAACAGTGAGAGGCCTGTGTACCAAAAAAAAAAAAAAAAAAAAAAAAAATATATATATATATATATATATATATATATATATATATATGGTCTTCTATAATTCTAGACCAGGAGTGAGCAAATTTTTTTAAAGGGCTAAATAATAAATACTTCCAGCTTTGCCAGCCATACAGTCTCTGTCATTATAGTGTGAAAGCAGCCTGTGATATATAAATGAATGGGAGCGGCTGAGTTCCAAGAAAATTTATTTTACAAGAACGGGTGGAGGGTCAGATTTGGCCCAAAGGTCGTAGTTTGCCAACCCTCGTGCCAGACTGATGTTGATTTGAGATCTCAGCCACGGTCAACGATAAAGAACAGAGGGTTGCATCCGTCTGCTGCTGTGGTGCCCGAGACCAAGAAAATACACTCTAGGGGCCACACTGGTGACTACAGAACCACAGGGCTCAGAGCAGCGTGGGGCTTCTTTCTGCAGAGATGATGCCTAGAAGGCCGCTGCCTGTCCACCTGCTGCCCAGAAATGTGACTCACAGACAGTAGCTGATGATGCAAAACAACACACTAATCACTCAGGGTGCTGACGCAGCCCCAGGGAGCAGTAGACAAGCTCAGGATAGCAAAAGTCACCGAGGCATCCACGAGTACACCCGCGGCCAGGTGACGGCTCCTCCTGTCTTCACCCTCATCAGTGCCCTTAGTTCAGAATATTCACACACACCCCCTACGGATGCTTCAGAGCACAGCTCTGATGCGCTCTGCCCCCATCCTTTCTCACCGACCCCTGCCTCAGCACAGTGTAGTCTACCAAACTGAGTGACCCCAAAAGATGTCAGCAAACCCCTTCAAAAGCAGAAAATGCAAGATGCCCGCCATAACACAAGGGGAGGAGGGGAGAGAAGCCCACCGCAGACCACACTCAGATGCTCCCCTCCCCACAGATGGCAGTAACTCGAAGGAGGAGTCACAGAGACACTACTGAGGGCATCGCTCCCTCTTCTGACCTACCGCTAGCATTGTCCTCATCCAGGAGGGCTCCTGATACCCACTGGTAGATCCTGACTCTTTTGGATTATTATTGTGATAGATGCTGGCATACTGTAGGTGCTCAATAAATTTGTTCAATTAAAAAAAAACATTGAGGTTGTCTCATAAATTTATTTTTCTCCTGGATTTGGCTCTGTGATGGAGGACATCTAGACTTTAACCCTAGTTTTTTGTTATTTAATGGACAAAACGTCTCCTTGACCTTGCAGTTCCCCCTAGCATTGCCCTGGGTGGGGCGGGGTGTTAGTAAGTGCCCTGGTCTAGTCACAGACCATCCCTTACTTGCCTCTTTTCCACATAAGACTCCCCAAATTACTACTCACGGTCCCACATGGCCCACCCTACATACCACCTAGTATCTGCTTTCAAGATCAGATGTTTCTCGGGGGTCCCTAATGGACCTGGAGAGAGAGCCCTACTGAAATCATCTTGGGTCACCCATGGGGGAGGGTGGTGAGCCACCAAAGAGACTTTTGTAACAGTCGAGGGGCTGATGTGTGGAGTACAAAGTAGGTTGTAGCACTGGCTGCTGCTTGAGCCCTGAGACCCGAGGACAGGGGAGCGGTCACATGGAAGCCTGCTGGGCTGCAGCGTCTAGCGCCTTCCAGGTGAGGCCAAATGTTTACTTGTATTGGGAAGACCCTTGAACCCATGGCTGATCTCTTTAGGCCCTTGTGAGTCGGGAGGTACTTCCCATCCCCCCACTGGGCTTTCTGAAGATGAATGAATTCTCCATTCCACCAGGTAAGAGGCACCTGAGTAGACGCACAGAATTTCTAGAAGAGATTTTTAAGAGCAAATAAACTGTTGAGAGCTTCTCCCTTCCAAGCCCTTAGAGCGCTATCATGACCAGTTCTGGCCAGTGATCCCAAGTCTGAATTTCAGGCAAGCAGCGGGAATAGCTGGTTGGTCGCCTTCCCCACCCTGCCCTGGGCCACGTTGCGCCACGTTCCCGGTCTGGACATAAATGCCCCCTCATGATTTGTAGGATTCCGCTTCTCTTTAATTCTCTGGAAGCACAATTGATCAGATACTATTAGAGGCTTGAGAAAACAACATGAGAAATTGGCGTGAATAAAAATGGATTCTCAAAGGAAACATCTTTTGTCACAATTATTATAACAAATAGATTCAGGAAGGTTCAAGAACCTGAATTTAAAGGTCTTTATAGAATTACATTCTTCCAGCTTCTACTGAAGGCTGTTTCCTAGTCTTGGGCATAGAGGCCTAGGTACAAAATGGCTTTAAATGACAATTTCTCTTAGTGAATAACAGAGGCAAACATTAATGGTAATGTTCACGTCAGACAGAAGTCACCAGAACACTTGGGGGTGCTGAAAAGCCCCTTCCCTGTGCCCCTATAACACACCCCCTAAACTCTCCATGTGTGATGAGGGTCCCACCTCCCACTGCCTCGGATGGTGTAGAAAATGGAGCTGCTTCCATGGAGGATGCACAGCCCCCAGCTGGCCTAGTCTGGTTGAGAGCTGCCCCTACCTTATTTGATCTCATAGGTTGAACATCTGAAAGAAGCCAGCCAGACTCCCTTAGGTCAGCTCTGCCCAGACCCTAGAACTAAACCTAGTGCGTTCTGGACAGGAGCAGCTCTCAACGTGGTTAGTACAGTCCAAGAAATGGCCAGAAATGCTTATACAGAAATGCTTTCCGGCCAAATCGCCTGGCTAAGAAGGGCTGTGGGAAGGCTTTGGTGCCACCTAGTGGCCATCGTGCCCAGGAGGGCCAACGACCGCCCTTTTCTTTGCAGGAGACTCCACCCTGATGAACACAGGGAGGCCCTTCACTTCCATGTACTATTCTGCATTTAATTGTTTTATTTCCACAAGGTATTGAAGCAACTGAAATTACAGTTATATAAGGCGATGCAAGGGCTAAGGAAAAAGAGTCTAGAAATACTCGAACCATAAAGAAAAACTGCTGCAGATGAATTTCCTAGAAGCCAAAGCAAAAAGGGAGACATGAGCAGCTTAGTGGTGGTTCTCATTTACAATTAGAGAATCTGGTGACACTGTCTTATTTCATTGTAATTTAAGTTGCCTCAATGCTGTTTCTCAACAGAAACCAAGTTTTTCTTAGCAAAGACGTCTAAAATCACTTTCTCCTCCCAGACTTAGAGAACGAACTTATGGTTACCAGGGGGAAAGGGTTGAGGGGAGGGATAGACTGGGAGTTTGGGATTGACACGTACACACTGCTATATTTTAAACAGATAACCAAGAAGAACCTACTGTATAGCATAGGGAACTTTGCTCAATATTTTGTAATAACCTAAATGGGAAA